GCGTGCGTGCGTGCGTGCGTGCGTGCGTGCGTGCGTGCGTGCGTGCGTGCGTGCGTGCGTGCGTGCATACGTGCAAGCGTTTATTTGAAGTACGTGTTTATTTTCAAAGTTATTCTAGCCGTATTTTAGTTTTAAAATCCAATTTGGAAAAAAGAACACAACTGATCTTTACTTTTTCATTGTTTGCAGTGCCAAATGACGTAACGTTAGAAATATGAAGGACAGAGGGCTGAACATGGATCTGAAGCTGCCAACGCGTAACGTCCTCACCGGAACTGTTGTTAACTGGGAAGATGATGAACTTGGTATGCTGTATTTGTTAGGCTGTGTAAATGGAAGTCACGTCTTGTGTGATACAAGATAGCGATGAATCGAAGAAACACAATGTTGTCCTTTATAAAAAAACAAAATATTGACTTTAATATTTCACACATTTTAATTAAAACCTATTCGTATTTATAACGTTTTGGTGTTTAGCAGGAATTGGCGACAATCCAGAGAATCTCACATTGGCCTGGAAGGATCTATCGGTTTATAGGAAGAAAAAGATTCAAACTAGCATGTGGAGGTCATCAACTTACGAAGAGGTCAAAGTTTTAAATGGAGGTGAGTTCATTTAAATTCTCCGTAAAGTACTTAATAACTTGAACGTAAAGGTTACGATAATTGTAATTAACTTTTAAAACTTCATCACTTCGCTCCATTGTAAAAAAAAAATTAACAGAACCAAGGTTTTTGAAGATTAATTATAATTATAAATAGTCCTACATATTATACCTACTTCACTTAATTTTTATCATTTCGTAAACTTCTTAAAAAAAAAGTTTCATTGCATAATACTTTCTCGTTACCCGATTCATTAATATATATTCGTTCCACTGAGTACGACAGTTTTCTGATACATATATTAATTAAAGTTTTTATAACGGGCCTTAATGTTTTAATCTTATATGAAACCATTAAAACAAGTTATCCGACCCTACCGTTGTACCGACCATATTTAGACATATCAGAAGATTTTAAGGCCCGATCACAATTTTTAATGACTTTACTTTTTACCGTGTTTAATTAACGTGTTATTCATTTAAAGTAATACACAAAAAAACTCTATTTTTATACATTCTATCTTCAGGCTTGTACATTGATTATTTTCTGTTAAACTAGCTTTTTTTCCTTGTAAAGAATGTAGTAGGCGGTGTTCTAGAACGTTCATTATTCGCCTTCGGTTCTATCCAATTTATGTCAACCGGTTAATATATTTTTTAAATTTCGTCAAAACAGGTTCAATTTATATCAATTATCCCCTATGACGTTTTCTTTTTTCAGTCAGCGGCTTTGTATCCTCCGGCAACTTAGTGGCACTAATGGGCTCCAGTGGTGCTGGCAAGACCACACTTCTAGCAGCCATAAGCCGACGGGACAAAAGCGCTATGACTGGGTACCTCATGCTAAATGGAAGACTAGCCGGTGCTGACTTAATAGCCAGAATATCTGGTTTCGTACCACAACATGATTTGGCTATTGAGGACCTAACTGTTACTGAACACATGGAATTTATGGTTAGTAGATTCATCAACGATGTGGAATATGACACATGATGCTTACAATACAATTGTATTGACTGTATCAATGGGGTTCAGGTAGTAATGAAGAGTGAGCAAGACCAAAGGAAATGTACTTACAATTTATTAAAACCAACAAAGCAAAGGTACTAACATTGATAAAATAATGACAATAACAATGAAAAGGGCGCTAAAAACAAGTACATTACAACTTAAGTTTAGGATTTCAATCTACATAAAATATGTCCTAAAAGATTTGTATCGACTGCTGCGATTGGCTATAACTATAATAATAAACTATATATATAATATATATATATAATAATAAACTAAAGAAATGTCTCCAGATAAAAATTATGTACAAAGTTAGATATTCTATTCTTAAATAATTCGTTTAAGACCTTTACTTTAGCCTGTTTTCAGGGTTCTATATGATCGAATAAAGTATATCCTTTCGTGTAATACATTCTGTAGACAATAATCCTTAGATATATCGTACATGTGTAAGGTATTTTTGTAAGGTCGTTATTTAATAGTAAATATCGATTTGATCTAGTAAAACAGTTTTTCTCGCTTCTCCTCCGATGACTCGTCTTCAACTGGGCATTATTTATTAAAACATTGTTTTATTCGGCTTGCCATTTTATCAACGATTATACTAAATATTACTACCTAACCTCAGGTATCCGACAGTAATTAATTTATAATAGACTTATTACTGTGTTCAGTGTTGGTGTAACGAACTGTAAAAATGGAGTTCGGGTAATAAAGAAGATTGACCAAAACAAAAAAAAATAGAAATTAAAGTATAAGATGTGCACGAGCGTGAAAAACAGGCAAAACAATGACAAGCCAAGGAAAAAAGCATCAAAACAAGTAAATTTAAATTTAGAATTTTTGAACAATTTCAAACTAAACTGATAAAACAGACTAATTAACATAAAAAAATGTAGCAACTGCTGCGGTTTGCTACAGTTGGTATCAATGATAAATAGTGATAATGCAACTGTGAATTATAAGGTTACCTTAGTTAACTAATCATTCAGAAATTTACCTTAAAAGTTTCTATGTAATTTTACTTAAAGTCGCCTTTTGCGGGATTGTAACACGATACCACAAAGTTATTAGAATAAGTGTAGCATACTCAAAAGCTTTCTTTAAATTACACATAGTACCAAATAAATTGTTTAGAAAAGGTGATTATTAAATCTTAGTCCTTTAATTTACGTGATATCGATAGAAGTAACGTAAATTTGAAAGTAGCGAAGTAGATATAGTTTCTTAGAACGAAAATCGTTAAGATTATCTGGGTTGTGAATAAGGTTTACATTTACATATATTATTAAAATATTCATTCAAACACGTTGGTTAACCTGGGAAATGTACACTTTCTCGTATTTCTTTATGATATTTCGTATTTGTTTATTGATAGACTAAATGATTTTATAGCACATTAAAATCAGTGCACGAACTTTCTTTTACGTACCGGTTTTTATAGTGTCGGTCAGGGAACACAACTAGACCCTATTTTATTTAAGACATTGCATTGTATAATAGAATTTGTTTTAAGGCACGAATGATGATGGATAAACGATCAACAAAGTTAATGAGAGCAAGACGTATACACCAGTTACTTGGGGAGTTGGGTGTCGACAAATGTATCAGGACTAAACTAAAGGCTCTATCAGGAGGCGAAAGGAAACGTGTATCACTAGCTGTACAGGTAAGTCATTGTTATTTTTTGTATTGAACTAAACTAAAAGACACTTTCTCACGCAAGAACAACAATAAAGAATACACATATCACTCCTACCTCCTGTTCCTATCATACCCTATTTTCGCTTTCTCCACTCGGTTCATTTCACTTTTACAGTTTGCTCTGAATATTTGAGGCTGGCCGTTTTTAATGTAGCCGTGATTGATAATTTCCAACTTTTTCAACCATATTGAAATATAAACTCTAAACTCTCCATTGTCAAATTTAGGCTTGGAAAAATATTTACAATTATCTATGTTAGTAGAAGAAATACAGAAACTAAACGTTATGATTCTATTACGTCATTTGTTGACTGAAAATAAAGTAATATTATGAATTATTAATAGAATAGATCACTTTGCGGAAATGCATGAAAAAATATTCAACGTAAGCGCGATCTTGCACGACTCGCGGATAGCAAAATAATTTACTTCTATTTTTAGTATTACAATATACAACTGTTAAGGCCTTTAGTTTCTTAATATCACCTATAGAAAAAATCATCATCATCATCGACCGTAAGTCCCAGTGTCTCGGTAAGTCACGGATCTTCTCTAAGGATTTTATTGACGTCATAACCTGCTACGCTAGCCCACTGCTGGTTGGCGACTTGACACGTTATCTAGCTTGTGACCTTTGTTTGATGTTTTCTATCACTGTTGGCGACTTGACAATACTTATTGTTAATAAACATCCACAAATCTAGAGAATACCAAAAAATAATTTGAATAAGTACCTTAACCAAATGAGAATTTATTTTCATTTATAAGTTTTTTATGTTTTTAAAATCTATGACATCAATTCTATGAAGAGCCATTTTTTATCAGTATGTTTTAAATAAAGGTAAAAACTTGATACACACACATATGCATACACTGAGGAAAAATAAAAAAACTCTTAACGAAACTTTTATAATAGCTACATTTAATTACCAAATTCATTGCGTACCACATGTTAAACTAGAGATGGAAAAAACTACTTATTATCTTAAATGTTAAACGTACGTACTTTTTTCAATAAACGTGCTTAAAAAAGCGCTTTTCACGTAAGTACTTTTTAATTTGAAGCTTATAAAATCGTTTGCAAAAACGTTTAACCCCATACATAGACTTCAAGTTAAAAAAGCTTGCAACATTTTGTTGACAGCGAAAAGCGAGAGTAGGCCACTTAAATGTTTTAAGATAAGTGAGTTAATTTGTATAAATTACACGATTTTTATTTACAATTAGCCTGATACATCAGGCTAATTGTAATCCAACTGCTGGGCAAAGATCTCCCCCTGATCCCTCTGACGCTTATCGTAAGTGCCCAGTTAGTCACGTAAACATAAATTTATTCTTAGGCACGTTGTAAAAAATTAAATTATTGAATATTAAACAGAGCAACGTTTACAACTTGAAACTATATAAGCGTACTTTTGTGCTTATATTAAAAAGCAAGTTTTTTTCAGTGCTTTTCGTTTAAACGCCTACCTGTTAAACGTAGTTGATTTATTACTGAAAATATGTTGAACTTATGCTAGACCAAAAGTTGATATAAACAATACATAGTGTATATATCTTATAGCTTCTAAACGACCCGCCGATCCTTTTCTGCGATGAACCCACAACGGGCTTGGACAGCTGGGCAGCAAGTGCTGTCGTCTCTCGACTTAGAAGGCTTGCAATAGGAGGGAAACTTGTTGTCTGCTCTGTACACCAGCCCGCGTCTGGAGTGTTTGAACTGTTCCATCAAGTTGTATTCCTTGCGAGTGGAAGAATTGCTTTCCATGGTACTCTACCTCAAGCCGGGGAGTTCTTTAGCTCGTAAGTACATGCATTTATTTGTTGGTAAAAATAGTATGCTAATTTAAACTTTAAACATTAATGTACGTAGATGGATATATTCGATTCTTACCCTTGTCATTCGTTTTGCGGAATTTTTAGGAACTAATTTGCTCCATTATTAGAAGTTACCAACACGACAATTGACATCAGTAATGATACTACGGCCACCATGTAGTGTTACATCGACGCAAAAATAAAACCTCTGATAAACTGTATAATTTTTTTGTCGACGTACTAAATATAAAAAAAATCAAGCATAAACCACAAATTATAACCATAATTATTATTGATTTAGATAATCACCCAACACATCCTCGTAATGTCCAAACATGCCTTAATTTCTGTTGTCTTAGCGAAATGTCAAGGCAATAAAAACGAACAAAAAATGTATTCTAATTTTTTTAAACTAAATGTGTTGTAATTAATTACAAAGCGATCTCGTGTCGGCAAACTTTAAGTGGATAATTTTGTTCGTTTTTTTATTCTTTTCATGACTGATAATTTAAGCTAAATTCAAGGTTAATCAAAGGTTATTTAAAGTATTATTTATTATTATAAGTATAGACCGTTTTTAAGACGTGTACTGTTAAACGATTTATTATTTTAAAATTATAGTATGGCGTATATTAACGGTCATATGTTCTCGTTAGGTTATGGTAAATGGCATTTATACTTCTTAAAATTTAGCTTCATTAGAATAACAGTGGTAAAACTAAATAAATTAAATTTAATATTAGACAACATCCCATACGTTGCTTTGATCTCAAAGTAAGTAACTATAGCACTTGTGTTATGGAAATCTGAAACAACGACGGTACCACGAACGTTCAGACCCGAAACTGCCGGGGATCGAACCCGAGACCTCAGAGATGGCGACACCATGAAAACTGGTGTGCAAAGCACTCTACCACAGAGGTCGTTAAAGTGCTTTAACCAGTGATGAGACACGACAAGTGAAATCGAGAATCTGACCTAATTAGCGTTAATATCATGGTAATAACTGAAATCAACTCAGGTAATTCATGAAAAGGGTCCACCCCACGAGTAATAGTAAATAGGCGTGGTGACGCTGTTTGTTAATTTTCATTTAAATTTACGTAGATGTAACTGAGCTTTCTGATAAAAATTCGCCTAAAATACATAACTTGGCCGAAAATAACACAAAGAAGCTCAAAACACGGAACATTTAAAAAAATACCGGCGAAACATATCTCGACTGGCTGAGTTGATCGACTCTGTACGATATGTCCCATCATCAACTCTTTTCCGTTGGAAATTACTTCACCTAGTGAAGTTGTGGAAATAAACATTAATAATAATTTTTACTCAATTTACTCCAACAGTGATTTATTAATAATGATTTGTGGACTTCAATTATCATATGTGAATGAGTACTAAAGTAAATATTTATTGTTTTGTGATGTTTAAAAAAAATTGTAAATAATTTGTAGGACGCTGCTACAAATTTACGTCGTCTTAGTCGACCTTACATTCTGATCGAGCTAAATTTTACGTAGTATCGTCATATTATAAACGTTAATTACGGCAAGTGTATTTTTTTAATTCTCTAACACATTTAATATATGGAGTCGATTTGTAATTTAGGATATATCTCTATAAAAGAACCTCTTGATGAAAACGATAGTCAGGTCTGTTATAAATTGTACTGAAATATCTTCCTTTTTTTATATCAGGCTTGGCTACAAGTGTCCCCTAGGTTTCAATGCAGCAGAATACTACGTATCCCTACTCGGTGTCCAGTTGGACAAGGAAAAGGAAAGTCGCGACAGAATTAGAAAGATCTGTGATGAATACCAACGGTCAGATGTCGCAGCTGAAATTGAAAACCAGGTTGGAGATATTAAAGACGAGACAGAATATTTCAATGGATTCGTCGATGAAAAGGTTAGTGAAGAAGATAATAAAACGAATTATGTACTGTAAAAAAAGAAACTAAACAATTGTTGGTATAATTGTTGAACATAGACGAAGTTTCATATTCATAGTTTCATTTCCTATAGACGAAGTTAATTAATGATATTTAATAGTTTCTTCGAACTAACAGGTTTTTTCTTTTCCAGAATCAACATTTCGAACGTTACTTAACTCTGTAAGCATTCCCCTTTTTATTTATTATATGAAATATCAATTATATTATATGTTTGTTGCTATAAGTGCTATTATTTACAGAGTCAAAGTAAATTACTGCGTTCAGTTTTATTGGCTAATGTGGAGAAATTTTCAACAAATGAAGCATAACAAAAGCATATGGATAGCAGAATTTGTTCTTCTCATGGTAAGTTGTTTATCGATAACTTTCATAGAATTCTAATTCCAGTTCCGCTTTCTATTTATTTGCGTCTGTTTCCTTTTTGTTATGTCAAGTTTCGTAATAAATAAATCCATTGCATTATTTCATCGAATTATTTAAATCAGGTTCATTAATAATATCCCCTACACCTTTAAAACGTCACATATTTTTAGCCTGTAAATGTACTTGTTTCAGTTCTGGTCAATACTTTTTGTATTCTTTTTTTGTATTATACTTTTTGTCTTGGCTAATATTTTATTACGTAAATTATAAACATTACCTAGATAAGTTATTTCAGATAATAGCTTTATTATTGACAAAGTGAAGTGCTCAACCTTTAATCAGATCATTAACAAATATTCACTTCCATCTAGTTCGTGGGAACGATGATCTCAGTTCCTTACAACGGTCATTTCGATGAGCTGGATCAGCGCGACATCCAGAACGTCCAAGGTCTGCTTTACCTGACCATAACTGAGACTATCTTTCTCTTCATCTATGCTGTCTTCATCACGTTCCCAAGCGAAGTTCCTATTTTGCTTAGAGAAACTGCCAATGGATTGTATTCACCTTTGCCGTATTATTTGTCAAAGATGATATTTTGGGTAAGTTTCATAATTTTATGTTAACATGCCTTATTTCTTTTGAAAACAGGTCAAGAGTTTAGCAGGTCAATCGTTAATCTGATATCAATTTGTAACATATTCATATTTTATAAGATAATATTGTAAAGCTTGTTTTTTACTATTCGAAGCATTTGTGAGTTTCTGTAGTTTGATCTTACGAATGGTTCTATTTCGTCCAATACTCATATTTCATTATTTAATTCCCATATTGTTTATACAATTGCAGATCTTTGATTAAATTAACATTAATTAAGATTTTTTGTATAATAACTCCACTAGTTTGTTATGATTAGGAATACATAGATGCGAACACACAGAAAAATTTCGTCGACCCGGTGGAACTTGAAATCATATCCATGCTGCACCATAGCATTGCTCTAACCATCTAAGTCACGGGTCCAGTTATAGAGTCGTCGAAATTCTCCTATGTTTTTGTTACAGATCTTTGTACAGGCTTTTCGGCATTCATCGCCGCTAGGGACGTCTAAAATAGCATTCATAACATTTAATCTTTTACGTTCTTTTTACATTAAAATACCTTTTATTAGTAAAACATTTCAAGGAAAACTTAACCAAGTCTTATCTTTTTAACGTATTAATTGATTTAGTCATTTAGATTCTACCTCAACAATTAAGTTTTTCTTATATAGATAATAAAGCGACAGGGGGTCTACTGACGACTTGTGAATTTATTATGTTAAGTTAGGTTTTGATTGTCACTATATTAGTGAATTAGAATATTTTTTTTTAATAAATCTATGTAGTTCTTAGAGGCACAAATAAGTAATACAACTGCTCCAAAGCCTTCAATTAGATCAATCTCAATATTCACAGATACCAAGGGCAGTGATAGAGCCAATAATATTCGGAGCCCTTATCTTCAGTGTGGCTGGTCTACGTGGCGGTTTTGCAGGATTGGTCGGCTATTGCTTTGTTTGCATTCTTTGTGCAAACTATGCCAACGCTTATGGTAAGCAATCTTCAATAGGGTATACAAAGTACAGAGTTCTCTTTAAGAGTTTAAATTTAGTATTACTAGATACTTTGTAATGTAACAGTTTCATCATTGGGATTTTTCTTGTCTTTGGCTATATTATTTCTTAACAAATTATGGTTGTCATGTTACTAACTTAGCTCTAACTACACATTTCTACATTACTAAGTCTACATACTTCTCATCTACGAAACTTACGGATGGCATGCTTATATATTTTAAGCATAAAATGGTGATGTTGATTCCTGTTCTTAGTGCCAAGAGGTGAGTCAAGGGTTACAAAGATCTTTGTTAATTTTACTTTCGCACATTTTACATAATTTGTTCTTTCACATCTTTACTTTTTATCTTTCATTTTTAGTAACACTTCTTTGCTATAATTATTCACTAATATGCATAATATGTAATTCAACAATTACTCTGTTTCATTTAAAATACTAATATCTGCATATTATTACTTTCACGTTCATTATGCGATCAGCTTACAAACATTTATTTTCTGGGTTATATTATCACAAACTATATACTCCTCTAGAGAAACATGTATGCTGTCATTAACAGATTGTAAACAAATGTGATCCTATTTGTAATAAATAAAAATAAATATATGTATATTGCTATTTATCACAATTAGCAACAATCTGTTTTCCAGGTTCATTCCTCTCGTCCGTGTTCGACAGTATGGAAACTGCAGCTCTCATCTCAGTGCCTTACGAACTCATTGGCACGATGTTCTCCGGTATCTACCTTAATCTGGCCACCGCACATCCATACGCCTCTTGGCTTAAATACATCTCTGGCTTTTATTACGGAGTTGAGTCCATTTCAATACTCCAATGGGATTCTATAGAAAACATTGATTGCATTGATATACCTGGTATGCCATGTATCACCACTGGATCCGAAGTCTTACAGAGATTTGGTTACGTCGAAGAGCACTTTTGGAGAAACTGTGGTTGTCTGACCGCCATGTATTTTATTTTGCATTTTATTTCGTATATTAACGTGGTTAGACGAAGTAGGGCTGCTCCTGTTTATTGAAGCCCACCTCATCAGCACCATAGTGTAATAAGATAAGTATGGTATACGAACAAACATAAAAGCAGGGCTTGTATTGTACGAACACACATATTTGCATAAATCTAGTGCTGGTGGGTCGTCTCAACCGCTTTTCATTGTTATGTGAATGTGTGCATCCATACATGTCTTGCACACATAGCCGCGCCGTTACGTTTACGGTTATATGAAGTTATTTTACTTGTCCCATTTTAGTACGTCAACGCTTTATATATTGCTTAACTTAAATACTTAATCTTAAGGATTCTTTATTTTAATTGTACCATTGTTACGGCTTTTTGTATTTTGTTGTTTTGTAATAAACGTTTTTACCATTTATTATAATACCGTAGTTTTTTTTAAGTTTAATCCTTTTTTTATTTCCTTTAGTGAAATTCAACTGTTGAAACATTTAAAAGTTAATGAAAATTTTCTACGTTATATAGCAGGAGTAAGACAGACAGGTAATTTTTTTTTAAATGTATGTACATATATAGGATGTGGCCAAAGAGGTAACGTGTTTGTCTTTTAAACATTTAAAATACCAATTGACTTGAAAAAACCCCCAAATGTAGATTTCGAAAACAAAAATGACAACAGTGAATTCCGCTCTTTTACAGTATGCGTCAAAAACGTATTGCGAATCTAATTTAACTAACGAGGCTATTTTTCGTACAGATAGAAAAAATTGTTTGAAATCATTTGCCGTTTCGATTGGAATAAGATATACATATATAAATATTATTCTTCGCATACGAGGGCTTTGATAAGTCCCTAACCCCTCTTCTCAAAGAAGAAAGAATGTTTTTATTTCAATTATGGTTTACATTGCTAAGTAATCTCCTTTTAACTCTACACTTTAACTAGCGATATCCCAATTTCTTAATTCAACAAAAAAATATTTTTTGTCAAATGGTTATCAATAATACCAGGTTTCTTACCACAGTATGACTTCTTTTTATTTTCCCGATATTTCGGAACGGTTGCACGCTCAATGGTCACGGGTTGACTGAACCCGTATAACCGTAAACCGTTCCGAAATATCCGGAAAATAAAAAGAAGTCATACCGTGGTAAGAAACCTGATATTAGTGATAATCATTTAGTGAATAACCACGAAAATCTTAAAATCTATATATTTTTTGTCAATCTGAAAAAGAAGCCACTCTTTCGAGTATCACTTCCTCATTTGATGCAAATCGGTAAAAAATCAGATAAAAAGGTAAATGAGGCCAAATCTGGTGAATACTGTGTAGCAATAGTTCGTATTTAAATTCGACAAGTCTTGATGTTCTGATTGCAGATGAGAAACTCGAAATTCCGTTCTCTCCATCTTCAAAAAATAATATTTATTTCTGTTTTGTTTATTTACGCGCTAATAATTGCACAGGAGTTCTAAATTAAGAAATAAAAATACAATTCGATCGGAAATTCGCACGAAGCAGATTCGTTGCCGACTTGTGTCAAACTGCGTCCGTGCGACCCAATGCGAAATTACAAAACGTCTTTTTCGCTCTTAAGTTAATGGACATAAAGCTTGTTCTGGCCGGCCTAATGCGATTCTGCGTTAATAAGTGTAGTGACTCTCTAAATCGTGAAATGTTAGTGATTCTGCTAATTTAACCAGGTCACTCATGCATTTTTGTTTTTTCTCAATTCCAGGTTCAATTCTCTCAGCTGTGTTTGACAGTATGGAGACTGCAGCTTTAATATCAGTGCCAATCGATTTGCTTGGCATCACCTTCTCAGGCATCTACTTCAACCTCGCTAGCGCATCTCCTTACCTTTCATGGTTGAAATACACTTCAGGTTTTTATTACGGGACTGAATCTATATCTATTTTACAATGGAATGCTATAGATTCGATAAACTGTGTAAATATACCCGGAATACCTTGCATAAGAAGTGGCCCGGAAGTCTTGAGCAGGTTTGGATATGACGATGAGCATTTTTGGAGGAACTGTCTGTGTTTAGTAGCCATGTACTTGATAGGTAATTTAATTGCTTATGTTAACATTGTAAGGAGAAGTAGAGGTACTCCTGTTTATTAGATATTTAAATCCAAGTTTATTAAAAATGTCGTAAAGGAATAATTACAGGAAGGCAATTAGTAATTGAGGACCGATTTATTATTAGTTCATTCAATCAGAACGTTTACCGGGGAAGGGTTTATTTGGTAAGGGTTTACCAGGGTAGGGTTTGTCAAGTAAGAGTTTATCAGGGAAGAGTTTACCAGGTAAGATTTTTCCAGGGAAGAATTTAGCTTATACTTTGTCTTATAAGGAAGTCAACGATAGAGGCTACTTTAGTGAAACTTGATGGGATTAAAGATAAGAGACAGGTGTAATGTTGTTCTACCAAAAAATACGTAATGAAATTTGAATTTAAGAAATTTATGTAGATATAGGTTATATAACTTTATTTTTTTTATTAGAAATAGCATAAGTTTATACGTGAGTTTTTAATCAACTTATTTCGCAATTTTTTTATATCCTAGATACATTTTGTGAAAGATACTGCGTCGACTAAATTCGTAAACCCAGTACCTCCAATAACGTGAACTTTTGAGGAACAAAAACAGAATTACTTATAATAATTCTATGATAATCTAAGATTATAATTAGTAAAAATGGTTTATTTTAAGTTTTAATTACCCGATATTACGCTTGTAGAGCAAAAAAAGGGATTTAGTTCAAAAACGGAGTTACAGGTTTTAAAATTTAGCCGACTTTTCATTAAGGTACTAAGTAAAATGGAATATTTACGATTGACGTTTGACTAGGTACCAATGACTGATACAAAAATTTTAAATGTTCCTTACTCTATTTATTTACCTAAATATTAAATAAAAATAAATCAAATTAATAAGCATATCCGATTTTTTCTTCTCTCTTTAGTCCGTAATAAGCAATAAGGCTCCAAAGTAAAGTCACAAACAGAAGTCCTAACGAATCTTGGAGGACATAGTTGTCGGAGTAGCCATTCTCAATTAACACTGATACGCCATCAGTTATGCACTTCGTAGTTGAGTTTGAGGGGCAATCTGTAAACATAGAACATAATTATGTAATCAATTAAATTATATAGTACCTAATCAAAGTTAAATTATCCACTGAATCGAAAAGAACTGGTTAATCCTAATCCGACAACTGACGTCTGACGTGTGTTTTCTATGAATTATTTAAACGATGGACCGGTACTAATGCCGACGGAGTAGCAAAGAAAAATGTTTTTCATCCCACTTGCTCGTAAATAGTACGATTGCATGGTGGCTAACTTGACTAAAATGCCGCAACTAAAACGCTCGGGTGTTTTACTCCCCATTACAGCCATGATAGGTAAGATTTTTTTTTAAATTTGTAACACGACATACTTCCTTAATTATTAATATAACAAATTAATGACGACCACGGGTTTAGATCGGTACATACATGTCATTATGGTCGATGACAATTTGTTATAAACCTACACATAGATGGGAATCCAGAGGCGTAAGTATAAATGTATTTATGTAAATCTTTATTCTGGTAAAATGTCACTAAAATATGAACTAAACGATCACGACAAACTTTCAACTGATTGGTTGAAATACAGCTACGATGTTCTGATACCGATACACAATGTCGTCAAGAAAAATATCCAATAGTAAAAAGAATGTCACTGCGTATTCTTAACCGAATATAAACCTTATTTCTGAACTGTTAAAGTGATTTTTTTAATTGCATTAAAATTAAATAGGTTAATAATACAATCGTCCACTTCCGTTAAACTCGAATAGTTTCGAAACTTGGATTACAAAATACTTCTGGACTTATATGTAATTGACTTATATAAGTAGATATTACGTTTGAAACTATAGGTACATGTCGTAAGTTAGTATTTTGAGAAGGATAAATGAGAAATAAACTCAACCTGCCTATAGACCATGAACAATAACTTTTGTTCTGTGACTTTTTACAAAATATAACAAAATTACCTAAAATAAATTTTTAAGTTTTTGATATATTTTGTATTCAAATATTCAAAATTCAAAATTCAAAGTAATCTTTATTTCATAGGTAAGCGTTATTACACTTGAAATCGTCACAATGGTTAAACTCTACCGCTCATTCGGAAGGCAGATTCCCCTGAGAGGAATAAGTAAGAAACTCTAGGGGTTGCTCTTTGTAAATAACATTTACTTAAATTTTTTTATTTGAAACATCAGAGATCGAGACTACCTCCTTGAGCTAAACGGGTTACTACCACGGATTTTTGTCATCCAAGTACGCAGAAGTTGTATAATAACCTTTAGTATAAAGTTTTTGTTTCACTATAGTTTTAAACCTCGTGAAAGGCAAATTTTGTATATCAACCGGAATCTTGTTATAGAAGCATACACATTGTATGATTGTAGCTAACACTTTTGGTAGTAAGGTAATAAGTTCGAACGTGCTAGCGTCTCCCCGACGACCCCCACCAGCTCCCACATTTTGCATCGAGTTGGCATTTACGTTAGCGCTTTCTTTTGTTACGGCACAAAAATAATAATTATCAATGTATTACCAATATGATCAATCTGCCTCCAATAAATATTGCTCAACGCGTCCATCCCGTAGTAGAAATGCGAAACATATTTCAAAGGGTAAAGCCAAAAAGGGAGAGAAGATATCCTCAAGAAGGCTCCGGACATGAGGAAGAGTGGGAGATCAGCGCTTGGCATGACGTCACTAATTACTCCTGACGATACAAAAAGAGCTCCCATACCAAGACCTGGAAGAATTTTTTATCTCTATAAATATGCATTTTTGCACACGGTGCAGTTTGAACTTGAAGCCATCTCAATAAGCAGACCAATTTTTAACACAATTTATTTCTCACTGGTGGCGCTGAAGGAAAAAAGTTGTTTAATTCCCATACAAAGATCTCCAACAAACACAGAGAAATTCGTATGATCTGCTGCCTTGCTCATTGACTCAGTTGGTACGAGCTGTGGCCCCGGTGTGACAACAGACGCTGGTTCATGACCAGTGAAATCGGAGGAATTTTTAGCAAGCGTTACTTGACGTCAAATCAATAACACATCCGAAAAGCATCGCTTTGCTAAGGTCACGTCATTAAACGTTAAGAAAACTGAAGAGAAAAATATCGTATATGTTCATTGATTCCATAATATTACCTTAGAGATCTGAAATACATCATAAAGTGACTAAGTTTCTTACCATAACCAGAGGCAGCAATAGCAGCAACTATTAAGGCAACTACAAATTCCATCGCTGTGATAATGTGATTGGGCAACTCCACCGCTATCGTCGCTATGGCCACGAAAGTCACCGGCCATATTACGCATCGCGGTATCTACAACAATTAAACAAATTATTTTGGGAACGGGAAACATTCTAATTAAAATTAATCTTACTGGAAAATGTGTCCGGTATTCTGTTATAGGGCTGTGACTGACGTAAAAAATTGTATTCGCATAATCTATAGTATATAAACGGCCATATACTCGTACTTCCTTGTATAATTATATTTAACGGAAACAATAAATTTTGTTAGGAAAAATTTTAATAATTTTGAATTTGTTAAAAGTGACCGCCGAAATACAAACTTATGGTGCTAGATAGTCGTGTAGTTTAAAGTATCGTGGCTTGTACATTTTTAAATGAAATTTTATTTGAACAACACTATTAATTGTTGTTTGCGACTTTTTTGACTTTACAACGACTGACTGTCGAGACAGTAGTCAGACTTGTATAAAACGTCAGGATAAAAATATGACGACAAATAATCGCAGCTACTATTGTCATCTCGTTTTATTTATCGTTGTTAAATAAAACTGTGTAAGCGAGTGTATGCAAGCTACAATAAAAATTAATAATTTTCCGATCGACCGATAAGTAACCGACTTTAAACTTTGTTTATATGTTACAAATTGAAACTAAAAAGTTAACAATTTTACGGGAAAGTGTTTACACATAATAAAAACACAGTAGAATTACGAACCTCCTTTTTTTGAACTCGGCTAAAAATCAATAGTACATGAATCAAATTACGTATATATGAAATTTTGTTACTCCTATATAAGCATAAAAAGTTTTCGACGTATTTCGTTCGTAGAATCTTTAAACCTTTCTTCTGGTAAGTTTTTATTAAATTTGGCAGATGTCGCCTTATTGTGCGTGCGAATTACAACTAATTTCAAGCTAATAATAGTTATTTGTTATGCAAAGCTGTAAAGTTGTTGTTTGACGCGAGTGCTTGTATCGAAAGCTGAGCAAGCGAAGTGGTTCAAAAATAGAATCTTGAGCGTAGCGAGGGTTTCAAGACACGAGACGCAAAATAACTTTGTTGCCGACCGAAACACACAAGTTTTCACCTCACTATAGCAAGAAAAATCGTAGATGAAAGAAAAACAGTATAACATATCAGTTTCAGTAGCTATCGCCTCCAATGATGTAGGTAGTGATTGCATTAGTCGTAATACGATCATTCCTCTTCTCGATCTCCTCATTCCCGTCATTACCAAAATCCTTAATAAATCTGTCTCTACCTGTGTATTTCCCTCTGCCTGGAAAGACGCTTATGTCATCCCGCTACCAAAAAAAAACAATTCCAGCATCCCTACAGACTACCGTCGGATTTCAATCCTTCCTTTCCTGTCAAAAGTCCTAGAAAAGCTTGTTCACCATCAGTTGACTAATTTCCTAAACAGGAACAACCTTTTCAATCCTCTCCAGTCCGGTTTCCGCATTGGTACGACTACTGCACTCACGAAAATCACTGATGACATCCGTTTGGGTATGGAAAATCAATAATTGACTGTGCTGACACTCCTTGACTTTAGTAATGCCTTCAATGGAGTTGACTTTGACTTATTATTGGAAGTATTGCGTTCTCTTAACATATCTCCAGCAGTTATTGATTGGTTTCGAAGCTACTTCTATGGACGTCGGCAGTGTGTAGGTAATGAGAATTCTCTCTCTACGTGGTGCGAAATCTCTCCCGGAATTCCGCAGGGTGGTGTCCTTTCTTCTCTCTTATTTTCTTTGTTTATTAATTCTATTACACACTTTCTCACTGCTTCCTATCTTCTATATGCTGATGACCTCCAAATTTACACCCAGTCGTCTCTTCAAGACTTACCAAGTGCTATTTATGCTACCAATGTGGACCTCGAGTCCATCCGTCAATGGAGTCACTCCTTTGGCCTAAAAGTTAACCCGTCCAAAACACAATCCATTATTATAGGTAGCACTTGGTTCACTTCTCGTATAGACCTAAACTCCTTACCCCATGTGGTTTTTGATGGTGTCCGAATTCCTTTTGTGGACACAGTTAGGAATTTGGGGTTAATTTCAGATAAATGTCTGACTTGGAAGCCGCACGTTGCTGAGGTTAGAAGGAAGGCGTTTGCTGCGCATTTTTCCTTGAGAAGGCTAAAAACTTTTTGCCCACTAAAACTAAAATTACTTTGGCCCAGAGCATTCTCCATCCGATACTGGACTACGCCGATGTTTGCTACCCGGATTTGTCAGTCAATCTGCTCAATAAATTGGAACGGCTCCAAAATATGTGTGTGAGGTTCATTTTTGGACTTCGTAAATTTGACCACGTCTCCCAGTTTCGTGCACAACTTAAATAGCTACCGATCCCCCAGGGTAGAGATCTTCATATTCTTTCCCTTCTTTACTCAATTCTATTCTGTCCCTTTATGCCTTTTTATCTTAAAGATCGCTTTACTTTCCACTCTTCTATACTCTACCGTCCCCTTCGCTTCTCTGATACTCTCTTAATAAACATATCCTCATCGTATCATCATATCATAGCCCTCCCATACCTCTAATTTTTATTCCAACTCTTTTACCGTTTCTGCGATCAGACTGTGGAATTCTCTCCCTGAATCGATTCAAGGTTCCCCTTCTCTTGATTCCTTCAAACGACGTGTCAAGGATCACTTCCTCAACTCCTAAGTTTTGTCTTTTTCTCCACTCTCCTTTCATTTATTTTCTATACTTATTATTTCATTTTTCTTTTTCCTTTTAAAGTATAAGCATTTAATATTATTGTATTGTTATGTATTAATAATATTTGTATGGATATTTCTATCTACGTATATGAGTTTATTAATAATTATTGTGTAGTGTACTATAATATTCTATGGTTGCACCCCATTTGCAAATCCCAAATTTCTATCTTAAGGTTGCCTGAAAGAAATTGTTACACAGCAATAAGGCCGCCTGTTGCACATTATCTTACTATCTTTATACCTAAGTTACTTTATTGTATTTTAACTGTAATTTTATGTGTAATAAAGAATATATCATTCATATTTCATTCATTCATTTTAATATAAAAATTGATATCGTTGTCAATTTAATGTCAACAACAATAAGAATAAAATATACCAACGAATTTATATTACATAAATAATGTACGACAAATCGCGTAGTCGAACGTGTTATTATTATTATTTCGAAAGAAAACCACCACAGGTGCACCACAGTTTTCCACGCTAGCGTGCAAAAAACGCTTTTGCGGACAGATTTTTAAAGAGACAGAAAGCCTTTCCGAGCTAGTGAGGTGAAAAACGTTATCTACAAGACAGGTAAGTTATAAGACAGTCAGTAAGCTAAAGGTGTTATACATTTACTCACCATACCCAAGAACCGAGCAACAAAATACGCTGAAGTTCGATAAATGCCAACCTCCCTCCGAAACAGCGTGAGATCACTCTCAAAAATATACAAGGCATTATAGGAGAGATTGAAGCAAACTTCGCTACAAATGAGCCAGATGAGACCTCTAAGGTCTTGGATCCCACGTTGAGTTGTCCCTGTTATTCCTACGTAACATGTTCCTATTATTATTGACGAGATTGCCTGGATAAGAAAAGAAAAATTTCACCAAAGTCTGTAACATGCTCAAGAAACTTATTTTTTTAAGACAATATATCGCTGCCTTCAAATTAGATGCTTGTATAAGCGCTGCAGTGGCGTCACTATAGCGCTGCAGCCGTGCCATTACAAATTTTCATACCCTATTTAATTAATAAATATTTAATTAATATTTAAACCAGAAAACCACCGTGAGACTTAGACATATTACTAAAAATAACGGATAACTCACGTATTTAAGTCGAATTTTTGCTCGACATATTTCGAACCAATTCGTGGTCCTTAATCATGAGATTCCGCGGCGATGACTCGAAGGCAACCTTCGACTTAAATACGTGAGTTATCCGTTATTTCATTAATAATTATTAATATTATTATTTAGAAGCGCAGCTGCAGCGTCACAATTGCTCCACGATTTACTTGATATTGTATGAAAATTAGTAGAGGCGCGACTGCCGCGATTTTACAAACATCTAATTTGAAAGCGCCCGTTATTGAATAAAGCAGTATTGCAGAATACTACAATTTTGAACTAAGCATACGGCGATGAGCAGAGCAAGCGAAACTTTATCGTTTTTTTTTATACTTACGTGGTATAAACGTGATCTAATGTTAAATGGAAAAGGAAACCCAAACGTGAAGGAACCTAGTGCAATGTTGACACTACCACCGTCTTACCCACTTCCACTTCTCGGGTTTCTCTCAGAGAAGTTTAAGGAGACTGATATCATCACTGTGGCATCACAGTACATTTACTCAAATATTTTATATGCTCGTAAAAATATACATAATCTGAATAAGAAAGAAGATATCCATAATATTAACCTTAGAGCTAAGTCCAAACTCATAGTACCATGATTTCATTCAACCAAGGTAAACGACTCTTTTATGGGGAACTGTATACGTTTTTACAATAAGATTCCGGAGCATATATTAAGATTATCATTTCCTAAGTATAAAAACTACATTAAAAATATTTTGATTGAAAAGTAATATTACAAAATTTAAGACTACGTCGTCGTTACATAAAGATGTACTTATAGAAAGACGACATGGCTCTATTCCACACAAATTTGATTCAAAGTGTATATTCCATAGCATTTAAGTTTATTTGATAAGAGCAATCCCTCTTGCTCGTTCTTCTAGGAAGTCAGCGTAGTCAGGGCTGGGCAGTATTTGAATTACTTGTAATTGAAATACGTATTTAAAATACAAATACGTATTTTGTATTTGTATTTCAATTACTTCCTAAAATATATTTTGTAATTGGTATTTCTAATACCTGGCCGTAATGTATTTTGTAATTTGTATTTCAAATACTTTCGTTGTAAAATACATTTCAACATAATACTTTTTTTTTCAATGTACAGCCGTGCATAGATTTATATGATATTGAACTCAATGGTGACGTGTGTGTGTGTATGTGTGTGTGTGTAGGCCTTAGAGGATGGAAAATATAGGCAACACTGCATGGTTATAACTTGACTATGGAAACCAAAGGACATGTTATATTGACATATCTATATCAGACGTTATATGTATATGATGCATTTAGACGTTGAAAACATAAACAAAGACAATAAATCTTTGTTTAACTACTGCGTGCCGTCGTAAGCCAAACGAGATAGCATTACATTGATTTATGTCAAACACGGGAATCGGAGATACGTAACGTCATCTTAAATGCTAATTGTCCTCATTTTGCCATTTTTGTAGTACCCTTTGATAACCGTTTCCGGTTGTCAAATTTGCTGTCTATTAAGCATACAATAACCCAAATATCTCCATGTAATTCGACTCATTTAAGTAGTTTATTTATAAATCTTGCCGAATTTGGCTTTGGTTACTACAGATTGCCTGTTTGTTAATATATTTTGATGATTATTGATAACGATTATTTTGAGATAGTGTTGTTCTTGTAAGCATACATATTATCGATATTCTGTTATTAAAAGAATTGACTACGAGGATTTTATTATTTCATTATTGTTATTATTTTTGAAGGTTACCTACAAATCAAAAAAGAAAGCAATAATGGTTGGAAATTATAGGACTGCCGAATATAAACATAGGATCAAGTACCATTTTCGTTTGTCCGCCTCATTTTGAATAGGCAAATTTTAATAGAACTTTGTATGTACCTATAGTTACATGCATGTAATATATTACATAATAATGCAATTCCATCGTTACATTTATAGTTAAATAACTTTATATTTAATTTTGATTAAAAAGACTCATTAGTAGGCACTCTCAGTTCCTTAAACCGAAATTGACAGCGGCCAACATGTAAACACCTCGAGATTAAATTATTAGACTCATGTTTGTTTAAAACGAAGTAAGTGCTTCAATGAAAATATTTTTATGACATAGGTAAATAAATTATTTGACAGGAAATAAGATGAAAAATTTCATCTTCATTTTAACCATTCTTGGCAAATTTAATTTGTAACATTGTGACATGACGTGAGTGACATTTTTGTTGTCGTCGTACTTTAAAATATGGTTGTTTAATATGCGAAACATGTTAGTACTGGCACTGTCTCTTGTCACATCTTCTGTTATACCATGCTTTAAGCAAATAACGTATTATTAATATTATGTGTGATTTTATGATTATCGATAATATTACTTTACTACTATTATAGAAGTAATTTTATTTATTTCAAAAATTACTTCTTGCTTTGATTATAATCAAAGCAAGAATGTAATTATTACAAACAGAAAAATCAGTTTCAACATTCAAGCCATACATTTGCATGTCTATATTGACTTAGCCATGATTATGGTACAACACTAATGTCCACTTGCACTAAACTTAAGTATGTCTTAAACCAATGCTTAAATTGATAAGACACTCTTAACACAATGTATTAAGAGTGTCTTTTGCATTGCAATTATTGGTTTAAGACGTAACTAGGTTTAGTGCAAGTGGACATCAATCCGCTATTTGTGTGGAACAATTTTGGTTTAGGTAGGTACGTTTATTCCGTAGATAGGGCAACTCCTTTCCATTATTTTTTTTCCATCCTCTAAGGGTTATAACCTCTAAGGTTAGAGTAGTTTTTCAACCCGGACTCTAGCAGAATTGTCCTTAGTGGAACAGAAGCCAAAAAAAAAGAGTAGTATAAGGGTTATAACGACATTGTGAATTTGTGAATTTAGTGAACCATCTTTCTAATTTGTGTTTGAACGGCATTTACATACATTTAATAATAATTGTACGTACTACGTGCCCTGTAGTATGGCTGTATTGATTGGTTTAACAGTTTTTTTCTAATAAACAAAACTTCTTTTTAAAGATATGTATGTATGTATTGTAAGAGGAAAAAATTTTGAAGGAAATTATTGGTTTCCACATGTTGCGACAGGCTTAGAATAATAACGCATAGAATGATAGTTTCATATCAAACGAACTGTCACAAGTGAGGCAAAAACCAAATTCATGTAGGCGTAAGCAACTTGTAACTACGCTCGTCGGCACGCACACAAATATACAAATAATGATGCCATGGAATAACATTTCCCTCAAAAGTGGGGAAATTGTATCTTGCTTAACTCATCATTAAGTTAAAGGTGCCTACAGATTTGCCCGACATTGTCGATCAGGTGCCTACAGATGTGCTCGGTTTTGTCGATGAAAAACGAATATAGCACTTATTTGTAAATCCAAGTTGGCGGACACGATTTTTCAAAATATGCTATATGGGTATCCTTTTCGAGGTATTTGGGGATGCTCATTACGAATATGGCACTCATTTCTAAATCCAAGATGGCGGACACGAGTTTTGAAATAAATGCAATATGGGTATCATTTTCGAGGTACTTGGGGATGCTCATGACGAATATGGCACTCATTTCTACATCCAAGATGGCGGGCACGATTTTTCAAATAAATGCAATATGGGTATCATTTTCGAGGTACTTGGGGGTGCTCATTACGAATGTGGCACTCATTTCTAAATCCAAGATGGCGGGCACGATTTTTTCAAAAAAATGCTATGTGGGTATCATTTTCGAGGTATTTGGGGGTGCTCATTACGAATATTGCTTTTGTTTGAACTGTCGTGTTTGCCATCTTGGATTTAGAAATGAGTGCCATATTTGTATTGAACATTCCCAAACATCTCGAAAACGATACCCAACTTGCCATTATTCGAAAAATCGCGCCCGCATCTTGGATTTAGAAATAAGTGCCATATTCGAAACCTAAAACCGAAAATGCCATAAGCAAACATTAAAGAAAATAACTGTTAAAATAGATTAAAAAATCGCTTAAGAATGCTCCCCTTTTAAGAAAATAAAATATTTTAATATAAAATATTTCGCTTGAGTTACGAAAAGAAAGACATATAATAAGCTATCAAAGTTGTACTGGTGGTGCCAACACTATAGTAGAAACAAATATATAAGTACTGTAAATTTGTTGCAATATGTGCTCCAATTCAAATAAAATTAAAATAAATAATTATTCAATAAAGCATGAACGCAGAGCCGTTAAAAGTATTATAAAATAATTAAGTGTCCCAATCACTTACAGGAGTTAACGAAAACATTTAATGTTTATTAAAGTAAATATTAGTTCAAGATGCGCAAATAAATCTAAATTACAGGCACCACTAAAATTTACGTAATATAATTATTTTGATACAGAATAGCAAAATGGGGAGAAAAAAAATTTGTTACTTTGCAACACTGTCGTATCTTGTTGCCGCGAAATTATTTTTCTGTTTTAGTGAATATTTACATAAAAATATGAGTTGAAACGCATTACTTACTTGTGGAATGCGATGTTAGTGTCTATTTTGTTTGTCTGTTGTATTTTTACACCCATTTACCGCACATTTCGTCATTTTTAGCAAAAAATTTTGGAGCTGTTCGCGGTGCAATATGACCTTGAGCACTAACAGCCCGCGCGCTCCTGGGACGCGTTTGGAACCCTCTAACTTGCCTCACTTAGCGTGTGCGGGCTAGGTTTCTATGCGTTATTATTCTAAGGCGACAGGTATATTAATAATGTATTTTGTAATTTGTATTTGTAATTTGTATTTTGTATTTTAAATACACCCCATGAAAGTATTTTGTATTTCAAATACACCTCAAGAAAGCATTTGGTATTTCGTATTTTAAATACATATAAGGAAGTATTTTGTAATTAGTATTTCAATTAAAACGTAGCATGTATTTTGCCCAGCCCTGAGCGTAGTGAACAAGTAGTAGATCAAATGTGACGTTTTCAAGTAACTTTATTTTACCTACGGAATAAATGATTCTTTGCCTTGGACTTTGACCACTCTTCACGCCTCGTTTGAAGTGTTTCGTGAATAAATCACCAATTTACATACAGAATAAATAAAATAAATAATCAATAACTGCTTCTGTGGGCGAACGGTTGGTCTGCCACGCAGAGGTCTCGGGTTCGTTTCCCGGGCCGGGAAGAAATATTTCTACGGGCCTACATTTATGTCTCTCGAGAGTTTATGTGTAATTTGTGGTTGTCTACGTGTGTGTCCAGTGTACGGGGTTATGAGCACACAGCGTCATTATTATTTATTATATACGTTGTTACTAATCTTCTTACATAAACATACAAATTTATTTGACGTAAATATAAAGATGGGCGGATGCTTAGTTCAAAATCGTATATCGTATTCTGCAATGCCGCGTCATTGCATAAAGTGTGATATGCTTCCTGCAATAGAAGAAAAGAAAAAGAAAATACAGTTTGTATTCTGTAGATATGCCATAAATATAAATTAATACATACCACACAAACAATTAGTTGAACAATATGACTCCTAATATCTCTCGATGTTACCAACGATGATCTCCAGAGTAAGAGGTACACTTGGACAAACCAATTTCTCTGGGTACTAAAAATAACAAAATCATTAAAATTCAATCTACTGTTAAACGTAAGCCCTTAAGCAAGCCACTCTCGCGGTCCTGTGCCACCCGCATCCAGGCGCTGCCGGTCATCTTTCTCAGGTCGTTCCGTCCATCTTGCCGCAGCCCGTCCTATACTACTTTTGTCTTCATGTAGTAAGCAATCACCAGCATTAAAATGCTACGCATTTGACCTTCTTCACACTTGATGAAAAGTGACGATAACATCAAAGATGAGAGAGAAGAAGAGAGCATGCTCACCTATATAATGCCTACTCACTCTCGCCTTAAAAAGGCCCAAGTTATACAGTTATTAGTAGTCACGAATACGAGTATTCGGTTGTTTTAGTTTAAAAGTCATTTCAGTGGCATTATTCATTTCAATATTCATAATATACTCGAATGACCGTCACCTTTGTCGATGTATTATCTGACGCACACAATAAAGATAAAAATCTTGTAGATTATTATACAATACTTCAACGTCATCAAAGTCATTTCATAAAAATATCTGTCTACTTACATGTTACTTTCTGCTTGCACATTAATCGCTTCGGAGATAGTTTCATCGTCGATGGACTGGTCTCGAATTTTAGAAACCTTATACGCTTGAATTTGCATAGTAGGATTAGACATTATGGTTTTTATGTAAAATTCTGCTGGATTGTAACTTTTCGGGCAGTGGAGATTCAAGCTATAAAAAACGCAAAAATGTTAAATAATATTTAAAACCAAAAAATTTAAAAAAAATGGCAATTTCGATAACGGGATGTACATAAACTTAGATAATACTAGAAAAAAAAAGTAAAAAGACTGCTTCGATGGAGAATCGACACATTTCTGATCTCATCGATCCTATTTATATTATATATTATTATATATATTATTATATTTATAACCTTTTAAACAACTCCGAACATTCTTTCTGACTTCCATGAAATAACAATCTTCCTTCAGCCATAAGCATTATGGAACAGAATTCATTAAATAGATCCGACGAAGGTTGATGTATAGAACAAATGACGATCTTTCCAGATATTTTCTTTAAGACTTGTATTACTAGAGAAGCATTGTAACTGTCTAGTCCTGTCGTTGGCTCATCGCAGATAAGGATTTGTGGACTTGATAGCAGCTGAAAATGGTCCATTTCTAAAATTAAATTATATTTTCTCATATAAAAAAATAAGTGTGCATTTGCCCTGATGGAAAGTGACCACGGGACTCGCACACCTAAATAATGACTATTCACTATCGCCTTGAAAAGGCCCAAGTAACAAGTCTTTTGATATTTTTTATTTTAATAAATTCACGGATGTCACAAACTCCAGTTTGTTGGAAGTAGTTGTCGATCGGAATCCACATGGCATTTTTTATGAATTAGATTCCATAGAATACCATGAAAGTATTTGTTTTGGCAAAATGTAACCCATTATATAAAATTAACGCTTTTTTATCACACTTGCTCGTAAATAGTAGCATAAATAGCATAACGCGCAGCCAAATCAGGCGGTATTGTTTTCATACTGCCTTAGAGTGGCAAGAAAATTACCGCTAGGAGCGCGGACAAACTGCCATGTTTGTGTCATGACCCCAAAAAGCAATGGGCTATCTGATGTTATTTATTAAAACTAAAAGAAATACAAGCTTCTTTTTATTTACCATGGCACCCCTTTAATTTTTTGTTTTCGTTTCATTCATACACATGTTCAAAATAAAAAGTTGCTTGCTTGCATACTTAAAAAAATTATCTTTATCACAAGATTTTTCTGAAATAGTTGAGATATTGTAAACAGAGTATAATTAACTACAACATTTTTAAGCATAATTTTCCTTTTTCTAACTTTCTGTCAAGTGTGATAAAAAAACATTGTATGATTGTATGCCTCAACGGCAGAACACCAATTAAAAACGTTCTGGCTATTAATCATCGGGTTTGTGACACAATTTACCATAAAGACTGCAAATATGTACTCGTTAAATTTACTTACCGACCCAGCCAAAGATAGTAACCGTTTCTCACCTCCAGACAAACCGGCAATGGTTGTGTTCACTAAAGTATTTAATTTTAAATCTTTAATTAGTGAGTTTAGTATTACATTGTTTAGTGCTTTCATGCTGCTACCCACTTTCATTTCTGTCTGAAACATATTATTATTATTACTTAAATTTCTATATTATAATTACTTCATATTAGGCTTGTGTGTTCCTGGAAAGTACGTAGGGCATCTTCGCTAGCCATTGCGCGCGGTGCCGTGTGAGAGGACTAATCTCTTGACGGAATGTCCGCTGACGCGCACATTGCGCACCCTAAGAGCGATGTTACACGGGCGCTGCCGGATGCGTCTCGTCGTCGTAACACCATGATTTCAACGCATCAAGGGCTACACGAGCAATGCGTTGTGGCGACATAACGCCGTTTAAGGTGGATTCACAATGCACAAATTCTGGCAATATATTGCCGCAATTTATAGCGTTGCGCGATATGATGTGCGATGTCTTCAGTTGACCAATCTGCGCAATATCTCATAGCTCCGACATTTTAACGCGCAATTTAAGAGCAGACGAACTGTCGTATGTAATGCTTCATTTCATTATAAAACGAAGCATTTCCCACAGAAAAGTGAATATGATCAAATTGTTGGTTTGGCCCGAATACTTAGGACCCAACGACGTATGGCAGGATAATTTTTTTCGTTATTATTTGAAGTGTTTTTTGTGGATGGAATTTTAAATTTCTTAAGTGGATTTAGCGAAATCTGAAATCATTCTAGCTGCTTAATAGTAACAAATAAATTGACGGTGAGTGCTTTGTATTGTAAAAAATAGTATTTTTATGATTTTAAGATAGTTATTTGTCTGACTGTAAACGATGGTGCATGTTTATAACTAACGTCTTTCCTCTTTTTAATAAATACAATGCCAAAAATTAGATATATTCACTAATAAGAAACAAAAACTTCGTATTACTAACCTATAAACACACTAATAAAACTCACAAACGTCAAAAATACGAAGTCTCTCAACAACTATTGTGCATTCGTGATCAACGCAATGCGTTAAATTGCCGCAATTCTATTCTGAATCATTTCAGGAGTTGCAACTTCGACACAACGCATTGTGTGGTATCGCTCTAAACGAAATATCGGATAGGATCGATCTGTTTCATTGTTCTTTGAATGAATTCACTTTGTGAATAGCGCCGTACATCTAATGTTACATTTAATAATTTTGCTAGTCTATGGCATTGGGTTGATGACGTATATTAGTAGATTAAGTATTGAAAAAAAAATCAGTTATTCTCGCTAACGGTGAAGAAAAACGTAGTGGTGAAACGTGAAAGTCAGATGTTAACCCTTGGAAAACGCGTGAAGTCATTAATCCTCAGTACGCCAGCGTTGCCAACTATGATCAAAACACACTCCTTAACGAACTGCGTGCCCAGGATTGAGACTTATAAAAGGCTGACGGTAAGAATGACGCATCTTCATTGTATCTATCACTTAGATCATTCAACCATTGGGTTGAGAAGAAGAACATAGTGGTGAAACCTGAACGTCAAAGGTTAACAACACCTTTTTTTTTTTTTTTTTTTTACACCTGGAAAACGTGTGAAATTATCAATCTCCATTAGGCTAGCGTAGCCACCTATGACTTAAACACACTCCTTAACGAACCGCGTGCCCAGGATTGAGACTTACAAAAGGTTAACGATAAGGATGACGCATCTTTATTGTATATACCACTTAGATCATTCAACCCAATGCTCTAAGATCTACTATCTTTAAACAAATCCATGTTACAGAAGTTTAAAGCCTCATAAATTCTATTGTGTTATTTCACGACCTAGTTTATAAAGTTTATCAAAATGTTAATATTGTAACTGCTATTGTGTAGGTACTAACCATGAAAACCAAATGTTCCATAACAGTCAATTTGCTTATAAACGCTTCTGCTTGAGGAACCATTTCGGCAATCCCTTTTATTTCTTTGATATTTCTGCCTCTTAATGTAACAACCCCTGTGGACGGTAATGCGCATTTCCCGGCTAACGCTGTAAGAAAGGTCGTCTTGCCAGCACCGCTGAAAATTATAGACGACATAAA